ACACTAAAAAAAAAGAAAAAAAAATTAGATTATTAGAATTTTTATTTTAAATAAAATATCGACAATTCAAAATTTGAGCAACATATTTTTCTCATGATTACATCAAGTTATCTATGAAAGTTTTATAATTTAACATATTAAACTAAGAAAAATTCGAATAGTATAAAAGTGTCAATACATGAAATTTAAATATATATTCGAAGTTTTTTTATTGATTTTATACGTCATAAAGATCAAAAAAGAAAATTATCCATGGTTTTTGAAAAGTATTGTTTATTGTTAAGAACATCGGTTTGTTCATTAAGATAGCAAAACACTATAAGTCTAGTCTCTCATACTCAAAATCAGCACAAAACTCTACATCAAATAGTATTCTTCAAACTTCAACTGCACGGAAAGTACAGGTCGAAACATTCAAAAATAACAGTGTATTGCATCTAGGAAGTGAATATTCGATTTCGATTAAATTCTAAATATAATATTTGTTTCATTGGAAACTGAAGTTTTCATGATGATAATTATTGAATATGAACCTGTGTTTATAACGTTTTGCTATCTTATCGGAAAAAAATCAACTTTTTTTGATAATCAAACAATATTTCTCGTATCTTTATAACGAATCAAATCAAAAGAAAAACATAAATAAAGATTGAAATTTAATGTATTGCAATTTTTATAATCTTTTTGAATTTTCTTAAACTTTATTTTCATTAATTTAAAATATCAAAACTAAAATTTTTCTAAATAATTCAATGAACTCTATACAATTATGATTAAAAAAAGTTTTCAAACTGTCAACATCTTAAATAAATACCTTCATCAGAAATTGTTTTCAAACGAGTTTCAGTCTTTTTTCGAATTTCATCAAGATCTGCTCGAGCCTAAACAAAATGAAATAATTGTTTTCCTAAAAACAAAATTTCAAATAAATCAATCCTACATAAGCATGATAATTCGTTCGAAAAGCCATTGTTAAATTAGCACATTGTTCAGTTATTTTAGCACTAAAAAAAAAAAAATTCCAATTTAAATTTTCAAAATCATAACTAATAATTTTTTTCTAACATATTTCGATGATGATTATATTTAGTTGTATTTGCTTTGTCAATAATTATATTTTGTTCTTGACGTTTTTCGACAATTTGAGAATGTAACCTAAAGTTCAATGAAAATAAATCTGTAATTGAATTGTTTAATCTTTTTTTTTTTTCATAAACGAAAAAAAAACACTCCTAGCATGCAATGTTCAAGGTTTTTTTTTTTTTTTTTTTTATTCAAATCCTAATCATACGATTGAGACATTGTTGTGCGTTCGCTCATATTACGATCAAGTATTGATCGTTTGACTGGTAGATAAAAGAAAGATTTGACTGAAAGAAAAGAATAATGTAAAAAAAAGAAAGATTATCATACCAGTATTAGTTTCAATAGTAGCACGTAATTTGATCAAATCATCTTGAACTGAATATAAAATATGATTCAATAAAGAAGAAACGAAAAAAAAATGCATTAAATGAATCATACGTTGTTCGTGACATTTATCATAAGTTTGTTCAATTCGAGTTTGATCAGCAACTTTTCGATTGAGTATTTCTAATTCTTTAATGAAATAAAATTTTATTTTATATTTTTCTAATAAAATAAAGACAAATAAATATACCTTGTTGTAATTCACTTGTATATGAATTAAGTGATTTGAACATAGTTTCAACGAATTCATTTTTACGAGGTGACGATGAAGAATTGTCCATTGTTAGAAATCTATTCACTTAACGAAGAAATAATAACTGAATGAGTGAGTAAAGAAGTTGACCGTTGGTGAGTAAACAGGGTGTGAGATATATGTAGACTGTGGATAATTATGGATTTTATTTAAATTAAAAAAAAAACCGTTAACAATTGTTACTTTACAAATAGTATAAACAGTCCGAAGGATTTTTAACATGTTTGCAAATATAGATGTTTCACTGACGAAAATATTCTTTCTATAGATGACACTAGTAAACAACCATGAATGTCTTCAAATGAAGTTATTTCAGTAAAAACTACTCGACACAAATATATTTGAATCAAAACAACAAGCATGATTGTCATTCATTGTAACTGTCATAATAACGCAATTGTCTAGTTTTTATTTAAGAATCTTGGATTATATTCGATGTATCATTTTACATTGATAAGATCTGTTATGGCACTTCTGCACCTTGACAATATTTCCTACACTAATTGATCTAATTGGCAGGGCACATCAAAAAGTGTGGGTGCTGCGACGTTGCTGATCTGTAGATGTACCTCTAATATATTGAAACCATATTTATTTCTTCATTATTTATCTGTACTAATGCCCATCGGTAAAGAAAAGGTGGGTGGATACTTTTTTAATAACTTTTGATAGAAACAAGACAGAGCGCTACAACTTTCATCATTTGAAAGAGATGAAGTTACATCGAAGTATATAATATAGAGTACCTAAGATGTTTTCTCAATTTATTTTTTTGCAAATTTATTTTAAAAAAGTATCAAGAGAAAGGTTTTTTTTTAATGTAAGTAAAAACCTGAAAAACTACATCTTAAAATCTGAATCTTTCTTAGTTTAATAAATCTTTCGTTAGCGATTCGGATGTTTACTTGATCATTGAAAATTCACTTTATTTACCTTATAGGATGCATTGATTTTCGAACAAGATCGATTGAAAACCAGGTCAGAAAAACTTGTATTATACGACTGGGTGATTCTATGTCGCCTCTTTCTAAAGGTGAAAATTGCAGCTCCCTACTTTGTTTTTCTTAAAATTTATTAAAAAACCCTATTTCCTTTTTTGTTTGAAATGAGTATTAGTTTTTTTGAACGAAAATTCTCACATCATAATCATTAATTAAGTTCAAAGAAGTATCTAAAAAAAAAAAAGAAAGAATTAATTTTTCTAATAATCTATAAATATATGCATGTAGTGGAATATGATACCTTCGTTTTGAAAAGACAACGAGACAATAAAGGCTTTTGCTTTATAAAATGATAAGTAGTGGTTTTACTCTATAATAGAAAACTAGAAAATGATTGCAAAGTCGCACACTAACACTATTAATTTGCTTGAGATAGATGAGAATCGTTCAAAATTCATGAAAATACCTGAATATGGCTCGTCCCTATATACGTCGATTAACTACTGAAATATAAGAGGTTAGCAAAATTCGTTAAAAATACTCGAAACTATAGGCAGAAAGAATTTTTTTTACATGCCACAGTGTACGTTTGAGACTTAAATTTTCATAAATTCTCAACTACATAAAATTAATAGTGTGTGTTTATACTATTTATTCATGATGTGATGTCAACTGCACAAAACAACTTCCATATAAGATATAATTTAAAATCAGGCCACAGTAATTTTCATAACATCTAAGACTAAAACTGACCTAGTATTTAGTATATGTACTGTGATCTTAATTGTGAAGTATAATACACGTTATAATCTTGCGTGACACATTTCTGGTAAAAATCTCGCGTGATACATTAGCACTACTTTTTATTTTTCTCATGCACCATGAGTTTTTTTGACGCTGGTATTTTCGCGACGATAGTTGATCACAATGAATTAAATCAATGATCAAAGTTATATCTCAAACTCTAGTACTAAAAAAAAAAGAGCTATAAGTAAAATACAAGGAAAAATATCACGTGTCAATCAAATTTGAAGTTTTATTTCATAGTTTTGACGAATAACAAACAATACAAGTTTCTCTTCTTTATTTTTAACGGGTGTATTTTCTATTCATTATCTTTCATTCAATAGTATGCCGATCACTTTTAGATGCATTGTTTAATCTCAGGATTATTTTTAATCTCACATGACAGAAAAATCGACCAATGGTTGTATATTTGTGATTTAAAAGAACATTATGAAAGCAAAATTATGATAAAAACACCAATCAGTATTAACATCAAAAAGTGCAGACAAGAGATGGACAAGTCTGACTCATGACTCGGATCCTAGTCTCATTCATTCCAAAAAGCAAAAGTTGATAATTCAACATTACAATCAGTTTCAGAAGAAATTGATGCTATCAGTGATCTTAGTTTCCAAAAGACTAAATTCATTTCAATCTCTTAATAAACTTGCTAGAAAAATCATGTTATGTTCTTGCTCCATCAACACCAGTTGAACATGTGGTTTCTGAAAGCAGTAGTTTTAATGATATGATATCATTTCAAGGTTTTACGAGTTACTATTTGCATTTTAACATCTTTGAAGTACAATAAGACATAAACTTAAATATTAATCAATATCTTTTTACTCATAAATAACATTAACTTTAGGTTTTTATTTATAAAGATATTGTCTTGTGGAACAGTATGAAAGAGAAGTATTGATATTATTGCTTTTATTTTGTTGGTCAGTCTATAGTAGTTTGTCATTTTATTTTATATAGAACTATTCTGATTCCGTGCCAACTTCCAACATGTAACCGAGAAAAAAAGAAACCAGTCATGTGACATCTTTCAGCAGTAGATCACAGTAAATTTGATCTTTGAAATTTTACCTATTTAGTATCATAGGACTTATTGAAGATAAATATTTGCTTTCTTTTGTATGATAATGAATACTTATCAGAAGAAATTCATCTGAAGAAAACCTTAACGGTTGATTGAAAGCAACTCAAGATTATAAATTTTTATATAGTTACATACATCTTCATAAATTGATAAATAATTTAAAGCATAACATAATGAAAGTGTCAACAATATGATTAATAATTTTGCACTGATATTTGATATATTTTATTCTCTGTTCAACATCCAAAAATGAAAGAATATCAATAGCTATATCGATTTATGTGGATGACAGATATTCGAAAGACTCATTAAATTTCTATGAAATGTCATACAGTTATAGAGTTACAATCTGATTCATCGATCGAAATTTCTGATTATATATCATTGAAATTCTTGTTAAAGTAGGTTTTAAAAAGTATGTGCCAATGGCTACTATATGAATTTTATGCAACAATCATTAGTTGAACTTTATTTACTTGATCTAACAGTTATTTATCAACATGATTTTGTTTTTCTTCAACAACTTGCTATTCATTTACGTACAACTATTCATACGAAAAAAACTAGTAAATAACATTTTTCATTTCTGTTTGAAAAGAAAATATTTATTTTTATGTTAGTGTTTATAATTGACAATTTATTCATGGATTAAGTTTATGGTAAAATGTTATTGATATATTATATAATAATAAAGAAAAATTTATTTAACAACTTGTTCATCCACTTCCAGAACTTGTTATTGGAACAATCAGGTGTAATATTTATCATAAATTATTTTATTATGTTCATTCGACATTGAGATCAGCTTTTAAAAAGGTAAAATGATCTTGAATTTGATGTTTTGATCTTTTATTATTGAATTTTCTTTTATTTTAATAGATTAGTGCCGACAACTCGTTATTATCCATGACAATTTCATTGTGTTCATCTTCATATAAAGAATTATTCGTATTCGATCTTCATCATGAAAATAACTTTTGAAAAAAGATGTTCATTTTGATTGATGATATGATATAATATCTATATAATAAAATGTTGTTTTTTTTCTTAATTAGAAACGAGAAATAAAGTTTACCTTGCTTGTATCTTGTGCTTGATTTTGACGTAAAATTTCAAAACATTGTCAAAGAACCATTAATGATGAATTAATATTACCTGAAATCAATATTCATTTATCATCACTTGATTGTCATTCATTTTTCTGTATTATGTAAATTTCTCTTTGAGAAGCTAAACTTACACGAAATCATATTCATAATAATAAATCACTTTAGATGCTATCAGATTGGCTAGTGAAATGAGGTTTAATGATCAAATATTATTATTGTAACTGCATTGAGTTGGTGTGATCATAACAAACATCAACCGCACATATTTAACTTCATTGTTTCTGCAATTTTTTTTTTTGCATTATGCAAACATTATTTTTAAATTCTTCAATATAGCAGAAGAAAAGGATGAGAAAGAACTCACTAAATAAAAACAAAGAGATATCGAAAAAGTTTAAGTGTCCATAGAAAAGAAGGTTGTTATTTTTGTTCAAGAACTCTTACTACAAAAAATGTACAATGTTGTCACATTGAATTGAATATACTCTATTAGCAGCGACACTTTTTTTTTATTCAATCTGACTGTATTTTTATTTTTATAATTATATAAATTTTACCTATTATCGTTTCTTCAATAAACGTTTTGTTGCAAATTGCACATATATGTTGAATACATTTCTTTGCCTGGGCTATTGTTGAAAATAAAATATTGATCATGTCTTTTATTTGAAAAATTCAATCTGAAAATTTGTGTTTTATGAACGTTCTTATTTAATAACACGAGCCAGTGATTTTCAAATAACAAAAGAATTGCAATTAGCAACAAAAGTTTTTTTTTCTTATGGCTAACAGTTGATCTATGATCAAGTCCTCATTTCCTTCCAAAATTTGATGTAATCGTACGCAATTCACATTATAGATTGCTATCTCTAGTTCTTCTATCGATTCAAGAGATCTGCTATAAAAGTTAGAAAAATTTTTACGCTAACAAGAAATGTTTTTAAAATAATCTAGGTCTTGTGCATGTGGTAGAGGTAAAACTGTCTGCCACGTGTATATACACAACTAAGTAGACAAAGAATGAAAAGAAAAATCAGTTTCGTATGCGATAAATAATTCGCTTTTATTTGTTTTAGTACCTAATTTTATATAAACCATATAAAATAACATTTCTTCAGATAGAACTTGATTGTATTAATTATGACTTCTCGTTTTAATATACAATGTTCCACAAGACCGCTATGCGATATCACCATATGGTGAGCTCGCATCAAAACGAGCCAATGAATGTTGTATAATAATTATCGTTTTCAAAGATAATTCTATCTTAATCGAACATCGTGCCGACAGTCATTTATCTAGAAAAGGCAATGATAATGATGCAATGAAGTTGTATGAAAGTATTGTTGATCACATTATTTCATCTAAAGGAGAACAATCAGTAATTAGGTAAGTAAAATTTCAATTTTAATGATTGTTCATTTGTCTCGTTTATTTAACGATCACATTCATATTCATAATCTCACTTCTCTTTTCCTTTAGTCATTTTTATGTGTTGGAAGGATGTAATAGTAAACTCAAACAAAAGTTTCAAAAATCGTTGATTCGAGTAACAGAAACATTAATCAAAGACAATTCCATTTCAGGATTACGAGGAGGTGCTTTAATGTTGAATTTTATTAAATCGATACGCAGAATTAATGCAATATGGAATATTACAGAAGATAATTCATTTACTGATGCTGGTATTATTTATCGACCTGATGTTGGTTTTTGTCTTGTAATTAAACAAGGATTTAATATTATGATAGGTAAACGTGATGATGAAAAAATCCCAATTCACTGTGGTACACTAGTATATGTACTTGAATCAAATGAAAAAACTTTTCAAGATAGTATTTTCTATGAACAACAAATCAGTGACCATTGTCAAGGTAGTTTTTTAAGAAATCTATATTCGAAAGTACCTGTTTCTTTAAATTGTAGATGAACAATATATTACTGTATATGGAACAAGTGCATTGCGAGATTTATGGAAATCGCTATGGAATTTGGTGCAGAAGAAATAGCTGATGACAATAATTCATTTATATCATCAGTCGAACGTGACATTTCCGAAAGATTAACTGATCAAGTTCCAAATGAAGTAGTTCAGTATCAAATGTAATTTTATGAAAAAACATTTAAAAGAAATAAATTTTTTCTGCATATATGGCTTCTTTGATTTCTTAAAGGCAAATTTTTTTGTCCAATTTTCAAATAATTCGGACATCTAGCATCTAAATTAGAATAATTCTTTTTATTGTTAGTATGAAAAGTTTTCCAAAGTTATTTCTTGATTTACCATATGAGTACACATTCGATATTGTTTGAATATTTTTATACATTCCATATCGACTAAACCTATAGCCTAAGGTTTAAGAGTCATAGTAAATGAAGTATAATAAATACCAACAGTGGGAGATGGATCAACAGCTTTACTTCGATACCAATGTTGATGCCAACGAACAAATGGATTTATGATTTCTATAGTTTGAACATCTTTATTATAAGCAAGTCGTTGTTCTTGTTCATCTTCTGTTTGATTTTCAACAGCTCTTTCTGCTTTAGGTGAATTAGCTTTTGGCATTGGTTGACCAGAATCTGTAAATGATCAATAATACCCATTAACATAGGCACTTGAGCAACATATAGAAGTCTTGGATAAGAAAGATTAGCAGACAAAAGAGGAGTTTCAGTCTCATTCTTTTTATCTTCTTTTGTATCTTCAACCATATCAATAAAGTATTTGAAACAAGTTAACAAAAAAAAGGTTTACAAGGTGTGGGTGTGGGTGTGTGGATGTGAGTGTGGGTGGGTGGGTGTTGGTGTAGTCGCGGTGAATACACCCACACCCCCAAACCCACACCCCGCACCCACACCCCACGCCCACACCCACCCCACCCACACACGCCCACACCCACACGCCACACCCCATACACCCACACCACATCCCCACGCACACCAACACCACACCCACACCCCCATACCCCACCCGCACCAACGCCCACACCCTACTAGATATAGCAATTCCGGAATTCCTAGGAATTCCTACCGATTCCGGTTTGATTCAATTCTGGAATTCCGTTCCGGAATTGGATCATCATTAGATCGATAAGAGATGATAGAATAATACTAGATATAGCAAATCCGGAATTCCTAGAACTTCCTAGTGATTCGTACCGATTCCGGTTTCATTCGATTCCGGAATTAGACGGAGCTGTGAGGAATTGCTTGTATTTGCTGGAATCGATTCCGGAATTCCTAGAAGCTGTTAGAATGGATTCCGGAATCGTTGGAATTGATTCCTAGGGCGGAACTGATTCCGCAATGTGCAACATCTCGGAATAGTATGACTGCTCATAAACTGAACGTAAAACTGTGGAATATGAATACGGCCTTTGAATAATTGCAGCGTGCTACGTAAGCCGATAGCTATGTTGTGGAGCAGTATTATGAATCTTGTTATACTATCGAGTGCAATGCGTATTGAACTTCGTTTTTTGTTTTTCATTTTTATATTTTTACTGTTATCCTTTTCAAAATAGAATGAATACTACTGTTTTTTGAATAAACTCTGATAAGAAAATGATAGAGATCTGGGATTCTCATGCTGTTTTCTCAAAACCTTCTTTTTCAAAGGTTTCCATTGCACTTCTAATTCTAATTGAAACAGCATATAACACTAAATTTTCTCGATAAAGTCACAAAAACCAAGCATTTTCTGATCTCGCAATCAAGAATTAGCTTTTGTGGTCTTGAAGCCCTCCGAAAGAGTATTATTTTTGTGTGCCGAACGCTTTTTTTTGTATCCGACTGAGGGTCTCATCACATTGAAACGTAGGTGTCGAGAATGCTGAGCATCGTGGCATGGCTTGTTTTGATGCCGTCAAGAAAGTACTGTATTCAACATCATAATGAATTTTCTCTGTAAATATTCAATATCTCTTTCGATCTGTCTGTGCTCTTTCTGTATTGATTATCTAACCCTAGATTCCCTATGTTTTCATGATTCTCATCTGTCTTTTATATCTATGTATTTGTTCATTTCTTCAGCCTATAAATAGACCGATCTTAGTGCAAATAAAATGTTCAATAACCTAGATACTTATTATGTTAAATGTTAGTCAAATATACGCATCTTCCCTGTATGCTCTTTTCCCGTTATACGTTTTTCACAGAGAAAAACTTTCCGATGGGTTGTATATTTGTTTGTGGTTTTATGAAGTATATATTTTGTCTTCTTGTCTTGATATGCATATATTCTTCTCTAGTTTTGATATATTGATTAAATGAAATGTCATTGAATAAAAAATGAAGCAGTATATTTAAACAAATAGACCTTGTCTGAAAGCTGTTTTTCTCTTTATATTGAACGTCAAGGGGGAGTCAATGAAATTTGACAATGAGAAGAAGAAAGGGCTAATGCAATGTGATTTTTACCTGAGTATCTTTTATGAATGATTCCTTAGTCTAACTGACTTAAATAAAATGATTAGTGTTGTTAACTTTTATTTTAACAAAACTGATCGAGGTGCATAGAAATGGAGATGATCAATATTGGAAAATATGTAAAACAAAAATAGAGTCTAGAATTGAAGTATTTTCTTATGAATTTCATTTCATTTTGATACATATCTGATTTGGTTTTCTTTGAATTGTCACATTCTTATAAACACTAAATAATTCCTATGGTTTTTCAAGGGGAAACAATAGTATTTTATGCTTAGTCGTGTTAATCACTATTCACAGATAGACGAAATTCGATCGGTCTATAAATAAAGAAACATAAATATCGAGACATTTAAAATCAAGAAAATTCCTACAACCAAAATAATTAGAATCTCTTTTGCATACTATCAACTTCTAATTTTCAATCGTTAGAAATGAATTTGATATTAGTTTATGTTCTCCACAGACAAACTACACATATTCTGGTAAATATTTATTGCCAGAACAGAAGATAGTTAGACAAAAAAAGCATTTATAAGAAAAATGGACGATTATTAGTTCAGTGTGAATGTTTGTCAATGATGTCAATAATGCAGAAATCATTTTTCATACATCTATTTTTATCATTAACCAGTGGACATAACGTTCAAGAACAGTAACAAATCCAAAATTAAGCAAAATAAAATCTATTAAAAATATAAAAATTTCATATTGATTGTCGTTATTATTATAAAAGAAATGATTTTGATATCTTGTATATTTGATATTTTTGCGTCATTACAAGACCGATGAATAATAACCGAATCCATTGGTCTTTAGATGTAAATTCGAACGAATGCTTCAATTTCTCTTCGACATATTGAACACGATCGTAATGAGTGATCACATGCGACACATGTTGCCATGTGTCCACATGGTATGCAAGCTAATCGTTTTTCTTCCGTCAAACAGAGAACGCAAGGATTGCATATTGCTGCATTGATTGATCGATTTTGATCAATTTCAGTAGCTGTTTGTGAACTTCTTTCTGTGTCATGCTCATAACTACTGGTTGTTGAGTTCGATATTGAATCAGTAAAAGATTGACATGCTAATTCATTTGTTAATGATTGAGATGATGTAGTCATTTCAACATCTGTAGGATTCGATAATGATTGAGCTGCATTAGATGTGGTTAATGTTGTTTGTTCTTGCATTTGTGCTATTAAAAAATAAACAAAAATTATAATTAAGAACATTCTTGTATGAAAATTACCATTTTGTTCTCTGATTTGTTTCATTTTGATGCTTGGTATGACGATGTTTTCTTTTTTACCATCAATATGTTCAATTTGTTTTTGAAGAATTAAACAAGCTATGTATAAATCACATTCAGATACAAAATCGTAGTCTAAGAAAGAAATGTTCAAAAAAGTATAAATAACATTATTTAATTGATTATCTCACGTTTTATTGTTAATTGGTCTTCCCAACATCGTTTAACAATAGATAATTTGAAATTTTGATCCGATAAACGTTGTGATATAGGTAAATCTAATCGAGCAGCAACAAGTCTCGATAGAGTACTTTCATCAGGTATCAATAATTGCCGACTATTTGTATTTAGATTAGTAATCACTGGATCACTGGAACCTGCTCTTTCTTTTAATTCATTAGCTCTAGCACGTTCTAGAAAACGAAAAATATTAAATTTTTGTCTTAAAAATTTATTATTTTTCAAACATACCTTGTTGTGCTCGTTTCGATTTTTGAATTTTACGATATAAATCATCACCACATAACTGTCGAGCATATACACAATGTGGAAACCAACGAGCATGTTCAATCATTGGATTATCATTTGGACCTAGATCTTGTAATGATCCATTACAATAAAAACAAGTAACAATAGTTTTTGTACCTGTATAGAAAAATCCTGCTCGAACTAAATCATCTACTGATGGTAAATCTTCATTTGGCCAGGTTGCAAACGATGCATGACGTTTTGGTATTTCTGAATAAGCTGGATTACATGAAGTTGTAAATACAATATCATTAGATCTTAATGGACCGAGATTACTGGCTGTTGGTGAACGACTACCAGAAATGGCACTTGTTGAATCTTCATTCACAATAACTATAGATAAAGCAGCAGGACGCATCAATTTTGCTTTGACGTATGGACATTTAGGTGAAAGTGTTTTATGTACTTCACATGGATCATCTGTATGTGGTGTCCATTGTTGACAAATAAGATTACAATAAATGCATATCACTCGATCACCAACATTGCAATTAAAAAATCCAGCTTCAATCATTTGTGAACTTGATGGAATGGTACGTTGTGGCCAATGAGAAAAGGTACGTCTTCGCTCTTGCTGAAGTAAATCTGTTTCAAGTAAAGTATTTGAGGGAGATTCTGAATCCATCGGTTCGATCTTTTGTCGTTTAGAAGGATTTTCTTGTTCATTGAGAGTCGTTGTATTTCGAACAGTAGTAGTTGCTGGCGAGATGGAAGATGCAGGTATATTTGATAATGAAGATATAGCTATAGAGCAAACGAATGGGCAATCCGGTTGACGTTTCGAATGAATGATAAATGGATTCATATCTAACGTCCAGTTGGATACCTCAAGTCCACAGTCCTTACAACGAGCTGTGTCTCCACCGCCCGTATACTCAAATCCGGCGGCAAACATATAGCATACACTGTGAATACCTGGTTTGTTTATTGATTTAGCTAATGACTGGAGTCGATTGCGGATTTTAGCAAGAGTAAGTGAAGCTTCTTTCTTCTTATCAGACCATTTCGATGAAGAATCCATGGATTCAAATTTATGAGATGGATCACTGAGAGCATCGGTTGACGATCCGACATAAGCTGCTGACATTTTATATTAGCTGTATAATTAAATCTAAAAGAAACATAATATATAAAAAAGTTATTTTATGTTATTTGGAAGCGTCGAGAAGATTCTTATCATCCAAACGACCTCATTAACTATTCATTGAAGCAAAAGAACGAAAAATCAAGGCTACCTAGATGACATCCGAGTTTCACTGAGTCATGAAATGTGATGCGAAGTTTCGAACGTTGAAAAAGCCTAAAATCTCATTAAAAAAACGAACTACTTCTGCTACAGTTAATAGTAAAACGTT